CGCCGCTTCATTTAATTTACATGGCTGCCGCGCTGAGCCAACAAAAAGCTGATCAGCTGTTTGTCGGCTCAGCGCGGCAGCCATGTAAATTAAATGAAGCGGCGATTATTTAAATCGCCACTTCATTTTAGTATGTCTGGTAGCCTAATCTACATGCCCCTGGCGACAGAGGCATGTAGTCTAGACGTACCCTAAGGAAGTTGTATGAGAAACGGTCTTTTCCACCTAACTCCAACTCCCCGTCCCCCCCCAAAATATGTACCAGTTCCGACTTACATACAAATTCAACTTAAGAACAAACCTACAGTCCCTATCTTGTACGTAACCCGGGGACTGCCTGTACTAAGTTATCCCACCTTCTGATTTGGTTCACTAGCTTTTGCCAAGTCATCTTAGCCATTTCTGAACTCCAAGTATTTTTTCGAGCACTGCCTTTTTAAAATATGAGCTATCCTTTAGCACAGTGGTTCCCAATCTTTTTGATACTGGGGACCAGTAAACCCATTCACAAGCTTTTGGAGGACCAGTAACATTTATTTGCGTATTCATTAAGCAAATGATAAATATGCAAATAAATTGTTTCTGGTCCTCCCAAAGCCTCCAGTGTCAACAGGGAGCAGGCCCGGTTGACTGCCCTGAGTGGTTTCCCCGACCCCACTTCACCCCCTGTTTGGGACCGGTAAGGTCAGAAGGTCCATCTCAGGCCTGCTGAGTGACTCAGCTCACATGGGCCCTGGAGATCAGGTGAGTAGCCCTGTGTCCTCTCCCCCAGTTGCACCTGTGTTCATGGGTGAAACCGCGGGCCACACCCTGCCTTGCGGCATGTCACTGGCCCTACCTGTCCGGCAGGTTGTTTCAGCCCCCCGCCCCTCCTGCCCCAATCCCGGCAGCTTTATCAGCCGGCTCTGCCTCCTCCACTTGTGTCCGGTGCCGGGTGTTCTGCGTCGGTGCGCATGGCGCCCAGCCTTCTCCCTGGGTCCTAGCGCCTGCCAGATCTAGCCCCGCTACCCAGGAGCATGCCTGGCAGAGACACTGCGGTGGTGGGCTCTCCCCCAAGAATTGTGCGTGAAAATTTTTCTGAGGACCGCTATTTTTTTTTTCCTAAGGCCTGGTACTGGACCGCGGACCACACTTTGGGAAACGCTGCTTTAGCACAAGACCACTTGCTCCAAATTATGAGGATTATCTGCTTTCTTCCCAAGTCCTTATCTTTTGGATTCCTTGATCCTAAATTAGGCAAATAACCTCTCCATGTTAGACGGTCAAACAGCATTGAGTTTGACATTTAACTTGAGTCTCATTTAAGTCTTTAATGCAATACCAATACTGCCACAAGAACTTATCTTCCTGAACATTTTTCTCACTAAATGCACCTCCCACTTTCGCTGCCACAGGGTTTGTAAGACCACAGAAATCTGAACTCATACAAACAAAAACTAGACTCTGCTTTAGTGGATCAGGTCAGAGTCCATTTAGATCTAGTATTGTGCTGCTAATAATGACCAGTGCTCTATGTTCATTCCAAGCTTCCGTTTCAGTTTGATGGCAAGGGCTCTCTGTAGCACAGGGGAGGGTGGGGGGCAAACTACAGCCCACTGTCTATATCTGACCCATCAGACCACCCCCTGATCTCCTGGTAGGCAGTAGGAATGTAAAATTAGTTAACCAGTTAAACATGGGGGCTGCTCCAGCCTGGCCACCCCCGTTTAAACCGAACATTTAACCGGTTAGCTAATTAAATGCGATTTTACATCCCTAATCATTATCATATTAACAGCAAGTCACTGTCATTACTACTATATTCTCCATTGTGATCAGGATTTCTTGATTTCCATGCAAATGGAAATCACTTGTTTAAATCTAGATTCCATTCTATGAAACTGATTTGAAAGCTGGGGAGAAGAAGAGATCAAAAGTTGCTTTTCTTCTCCCCCTCCCCTCCAGATCGCACATATTTTAGGGCATACTTTTGTCTAAATTATCAACAGCAGGCTTAAAAAAAAATGCCAAACCACAAGGAAGACCAGTCACTGCTCTCCTGGGCAGTTTGCCAATGTAATCAGTGTAATATCTTTTTCCATGCCTAACCCAAGGATGTTCCACATGCCAGTGACTTAGAAGACATCCTAATAATAAATACTGAATAACAAAAGGACAATCCTCTAAAAGTTACTCTAACCAAATACGGAAAATCTGTGTCGAGAAGGATAGCCAATACTCCACAGTTTGAGACAACATTAAAGCAAGTGGCTTCCCCATATACAGTATTGGTTTATAAAAAAATCCAAGGCGAGGCTAGAAAGAACACCCACTTGAAAATACTATAGTATGGGGTTTGCTTGTTTGTTTTTTAAACTACAAGCTGTTCTGCAGCTTTCTGCAACACAGCACTAGGCAACCAGTGTGAATTTCACTCAGATCTGGAACTTCCTTGCCAACTTTTACATTTCCAGGCACATAAATAATCCCAACTGGGACCCAGTTACAACATTTCTTCCACCTTCAGCATCTGCATACACATAATTACTTACGTACTGGAAGCTTTAGGTATTTTGTCTTTTTTTAAACTTCATTAAAATGTAATATGATGGCACGGAAGATGCCTCACAGCTCTACCCCAATCATATTTCTTTCCTTGTATGAGTTAACAAAAAGCATACGCTACCCTTTACTGTCACGAACGAGGAAACAAAAGGCTGTTATGCCATTTGCAACCCATCAGATTCACACGTGCCAGGAGATGGAGTTTGCAAACGATGGCAGAAAAAGCCTCATAAGCTCTCCCTTCCCCCTTCTGTTTACAAGTCTTGTTTCTTTGCGCGGTAATTAAAAGTCCGCAGTTCTTAATTTTTCCTAGTGTTACCATTTCTGTAGCGCTATGTAGAGGCACACTATGCACTTTGTTAGATGAATCACTGCTGCAAACGTTAAGCGATTAGGTGTTAAAATGTATCAACTTCGTGTCTTCAACAGTCTGCCAAAGAAAGACCTAAAACCCTCACAAGTGGTACCCTACACAAATGTTTAAGGGAAACAATGCTCTGCCTAGGCCTGCCGACAGTAGGGGTCGGGCAAAAGGGGCAGCTGCCCAGTGATACATAGGGACCCAGTGCTCCTGGCTGCCGCTGCTGGCAACCAGACCCCGAGCCCTTTATATTGCTGATGGAACACCACATGGCATGCTGCAAAGCCCTGAGTGGCAGTAGCACACTCCAGATGGGGAGAGGGCATGGGCACACGATGCGAGTAGCCCCGCTCCTTCCACCAAAGCCCCTGCCTCTCCCAGGAGTGTGGAGATGCCCTCCCTGACCTTGCTCAAAGGTCCAGCTAGTCTTTTGGCTCACCTGACTTTGCTTAAAGTGGAGTAGTTTCTCTCCTAGCTTAGCGCTAAGAGAGAAACTACTCCACTTTAAGCAAAAAAGAAAGGTTGTAACCATATGTGCGGCACCAAAGCAATGTAGTCATTTTGGGGTGGAAGGAGGTAAGCAAACCACTCATAGAAGGGTTTTATTTCTGCAGGGAAATCCCACATTCCAAACCCCCCCCCCCCCCCCCCCCCGCCCTTTTTTTTGCTTGAGTTGTAAGTTATTTATGATCACTGATCATCACTTGAACTTGAGCTCAAGAGTGCTACACACTTTCCAAATGTGAGGTAACCCTTACTACCTCTGATGCTAGATAGTGTCCTGATTTTACAAGTGGGCAAACTGAGGCCCCCAAAAAGTGAAATGATTTATCCACAGCAGAACTAGGAACAGACAACCAAGAGCTCCCATTGACATTCCCGATGACTACCACATATGCCTCTACTTCATCTAGAAAGAGGCTTGTTGTCATAGGAAGACCTACTTCACATATGTGGATTAATTTTTAACCATTTACTTCAATCAAAGTTTAGACTTCTCTCCAATCTATTTTATTCTTGGTAAATTGGGCTCAAGCCAAGCACAGCGTGAGCAGCTACTGTAATATATTAGGTTTGCAATCTCTTTGGGGGCAGGGACCCCCTTTTTTGTTACTTGTACCATGTCTAGCGCAATGGCGCTCTGTGCCATGACTGGGATTGTAGATACGACCACAATAGAAACAAATCGCAATACTCTAATCTTGACATTAGTTACTGTTTAGTCCAGACCTAGGCTCGTCTTGATCGGAGTGCAGGGGAAGCTAGGGATGTCAAATTGCGAGTAATGGCCTGATCAAATAGTCAATGCATTTTGCATCAACTATTTGATTAGTCTATAGGGCACCTTCACCTTGGAAGTGTAGCAACAGCTACACTATTGCTACACTTCAAAGGCAAAAGCACCACGTGGAGCCCAGGGTCATTGGGGGACTCCCTGATGATGCCAGGCTCCATGCAGCACTGCCACTTTGAAACACCGTGAGGAGCCCAGCATCAGGCTCTTTGCGACATTTCAAAGCGGTAGTGTCCCACGGAGCCCAGGATTAGCTGGGGGCTCCATGCGGTACTGTTGCTTTAAAACCCTGTGGGAAGCTTGGGGACACCCCAGCTGGCCCCAGGCTGCATGCGGCATTTCAAAGCGGCAGTGGTGCGTGGAGCCTGGGGTCTGGCCAAGATTCCACGTGGCGCTGCCACTTTGAAGTACCCCCTCCTCTTTCCCCCCACCATTGCTGCCTCTTTCTGATAGAGGTAGTAAGGGGCAGGGGAGAAGCGACTAGTCCTTCACATCCTTATGGAAAGCTTGAATTGGAAATCAAACCACATGCATTTTTTAAGGAGTCACTTATTCTCAATTTGAAGCCTAGGTCACTGGCGGTGTAAGAGCAGCACATTAACCCTCCACTACCTAACCCTCAAAGCCTATTATTCTACTTTTTGTCTGACTGAAATCCAAATCCTCACTGCAGAGCCCAATATTCCTATAAATGGATTAGGGTACACAGCACAGCTTAATGCTATTGCCTCAAGTATTAAAGCATCCCTCTTTGTGGTTACTAATCTGACTCTCTACCAGGTATAAAAGCCCATTACTCACAGCCTGCTGGATGTCTGTCTTCACTTGTTCGCTCAACATACCCTCAAACACAAAGGAGTCTCCAAATTTCTCTGCCTAGAAGGGGGGAAAAAAAACAGAATTCAAGCTGATTGTGAGAGTACATTGTAAGTGTTTTACTCCTATAACGCCATCTTAAGAAAGCAGCAAGTGAGGCCATTAAGGAGATAATAGATTTAATTTAATCCCAATAGGAATTCTAAGTTTGTTTTAAAGCAAACAATATACCGATCAGAAGTACAGAGGATGAAAGGCCAAATTACCCAGGGATACCATTGTTCTTTAACAGTCATTGAGAAAAAGCGCAGATTGACTCAAGTTATGGAATAGATGGTATCCGTAAGAATGTCTGCAAACATTTCTACATCTATTGATTGGAAATGTTTTTAACTGTCCTGAATTGCTTTTAAAAAGCAATACGCAATATTAATAGAGGGAATCTATTTCATTAAATTGCCTTTACTTTTAGTATGACTTCCAAAGTAAGTGGCATGGGTTTATTCATTCTCATTGCTCACTGGCTCCACATCTTAATATATGGTTACAAAAGTCACAGAGAACTATTACATTTAACCATTTATCTTAACATTCTAAAAAACCACTCTCACTTTCCGGAGGAAAAAACAAGAGGCATTAGCCCATTTCACTGACTCACAACAGGAGAAGTATTTCAGCACAGCAGAAAGTGTCCCAACCTAGGTATTAAAATACAGCAGAACCGGTTACTGGTAGCCAGTGAGTGTTTCTACTTCATTGCTTGAGTCCATCAAAGCAGGACCCCCAGATGTATCCATTATAATCAAGTTGTGAAACTATTTCCATTGTAACCTTGTTTTCACATATTAACAACTTTCAGAAAGAGGCAATTTTAGGATTGAAGATTCCTGAACATTCATCACTCTAAATCTAGACTGTGTAGAATTCGGACAAAATCCCTTCAGTCATTTGACTGTAGCAATAGGGAAGGGGAAAAATATCCCTCTTCCTGCCTCAATCCCTTTCCCATCCATTTTTTTTGGTTGGACAGAACTAGAACAAGAATGCCTGATCTTGACAGAGCTCTTCACTAAGGACTAGTTTCTTCGTTTGTTGAAAAAAAAGTTAGCTTTGATTTAACTGGATTTATGAGCACCTGAAGACTGCATCTTGTACATAAACAGAAAATCACTAGTGGAGCCCAAGTAACCTTTGGCTGGAAAACAAACAACTAATTGAGTATTCTGTTTGCCTGAGAAATCAGTGATGCAGACAAGCACTCAGGTGCTTCTCAAGAGCCTGTGGGTTCAGTGCTGTTTACTCTAGCTCTAAGTATATTTTTCCAAATCCAGCATACAAAGTGGCCTCATGCCAGGGCGAAGAACCGAACATCACACACAGCCAGAAACAGGATTTCATCCCACAAGATAATATAGTAGGTATAGGAGTGTATTAAGTCACATTCCTGAAGTTGTTTGCAATGAAGATCCCGGGTCGAAACTTAAGTGGATTAAGTGACTCTCTCAATTACAGCACCAACAGCTCAACAAATACAAACTGGTTCCTCTGATACAAGAGCAGTCCTCTGCCTGAACTTTACAGAAGAGGAAGGGTAGAAGGATTCTTGCCATCCAAACCTGAGCCAGTTTGCCAATAATATTATGATTCCAAGAGCAGACCTCGTCTCAGGCCTGAATCATTACTAGTAACTTGAAGTTGGCTAGATGGCTTAAATGTACTACAGAAACCACATCAGGCATATTACCACAGCTTCTGAACAGGAAAAATCTGGGTCTCCAGAGTGGGCTACACTCCTTTATTGGGAGACTGATCTAAGATGACAAAGCCTTAGGATATACTTTCTTAGCCTATATTTACTTACAACATGCACAGAGCTACAACTTCTTTAGAATAAAAATTTACAGTTACAAAAACTTTTAATGCCCAGATTGCTAGAAAGCAGCTGTGTTTGGCCAGCCTGCAGTATCTTTGACAGTCTCACCATTGGGAGGACTGTATCTTAAACACATCAAAGTGTTTTTTAAAAAGCATGCAATTAGCCATTTCAATCAGGGCCTCTATATACCATGGACAGGTCCTGATGTAGCTACTCTGGTCCAAACTTATGCCGATGACCAACACCAGTACAAAGCAGGGTTAGTAGCAGCATGTCTTGCTAGGCTAACCCGTACCAGCACAGAACATAATACAGGAGGTTGCCTTGCTACATTAGCCTAACTATAGCAATACACACTACTATGAAAAGGTAGCTAGTTATCACCCTGAGTCTTCACTGCTTTGCTAAACTAAAGAAAACCTGTCTGAATTCAGAGGCTTACAGCCAGGGCAATGTGCAGGGTTTGGCTCCTGGCCCCCCAGAAGGAGCAGAGCCTCATGCAGAAGGGGCAGCCCCTCATCAACACCGCTTTGGGTTTCAGCCATCACTGCTGCCGCAGTAGCAACAGCGGCCCAGAGCCCCAAGTCTTTTTAAACAGGAGCAGCCCAGGGCAACTGCTCACTTGGCCCCCCACATGCTGGCAGCCCTGCCAGAAATACAGCACCCCATATACTTCAGAAGTATTAGACCAATTATGAAAACTGAGCCACATGAAGCATGAGCTCGTGCCAAGGTCTTCAGCACATGCTGTCTGCGGTCCATTCCATTTTAAGATTATTTTCTCAGTGAAACTAACTAAATACTGTAGAAGAGGCATTTGCAGGGGTCGAGGGACCCTTTTGTGGTCCCCTTCCCATCAAGAGGCGGCTAAAAGCAACAGGTGTTTCACTGCTGATTGCTTGCCAGCAATCTGGGTATAATATATTTGTTTCCAGGGCCTGTAAGCCTTCAAGCAGAATTTATGTGACCTCCTTTGGGGAAAGATTTAAGCCTAAATTTCCTAGGAGAGTTCTCTGAGTTCTACAGCTATTGTAGAAGGTACAATAGTTTTCCTCTTACCTCTGTAACATAGCCAGTGGCATTTACAAATTTTTCGAACTCCACATTGCTGACCTCGTACCGATCCATATAGAACTGGTTAACATGGACTTTTCTAGCAGGCCATTCCCCATCTTGCTTTATTTCAGGTTCATCAGTACCCATTGTGAATATTCCTTTTGGAATAAGGGCCATCTGCAATAGAAACAAACAGGACAGAAAACAACTGTGTTCATTTTTAAGTTACAGTTTATCCTTGTTTTTCCATCAGGCTGGAGGAATGAGAGTCAACATCAACTTGAACAATGCTATCTTCACGGCTATTATACATTAACTAACAATTATAATATCTGGAAGATTCTAGGTTTCAAAGTGAAGTAAATTGAGATGGTTTCAAGATGAAAAATGCAGTTCTCAATCCACCCCTCAAAGTACCTAGGGAATTCAGACCACTGCTTAGGTCCAGACCTATCTGCAAATGGAGAGATGGATGCCATCTGTCACGGTGTCTCCTTTTCGCACATGAAGCAATCAATGCAAATTACATCTTGTTCATTGCACACACACAAAAAAATCATGACTTTTCCATCTGGTACAGAAAGGAAACTTGACATGTAGACAGACAGCATGGAGCTAATGAAGCTGCAAAGTGTTCTTTTGAGAACAAACCACAGCATACCTGTTTGCATTTGGGATTTTATTTATGAACTGATATACAATATTCCATCACTCCCTCAGGTAGCATCAGCACCCGCATCTCAACAGTGCATCAAAAGGTATATGGCAAGTTAACATTTCACACTGTACAAGACTGGTCTGGTGTTGTAGCGTCAGGCTCAGGAAGTAAAGACATAATGGCATGAAGGAATGCAACAACTCTGTGACCAGTTATAAAGACTTCTTATGGCTTCAGTCTGTTTTTAGGGAAGACGCACCCAGACTTCCTACAGCTGTGTATCCATGCAAAGAGTCCATTGCCAATCTCCTGGCAGGCTCCAGTCCGTCTCTGTCAAATTAACAAGAGACCCTTCAAGCAGCATGCAGCCCTCAGCCAATGAAAAGCAGGCTGCTCCCAGAATTTCCTCAACCAGATTCTGGAAGGCTCTTAGCTGGGATCCCCCTGAAGCTAAAACAAGAATCCTCTTCCCTTCCCTCTAAGAGCCACCTTTCCTGTTTGAATACCTGCTTGTTGAGTTTGGGGCTGGGAGAAGGGAAGACCTCTTTTGTTCCAACTGGCAAATGACACTGCTAGGTCAATAACACCCCCTGAAGCCAAGTAACACTCTGATTTGCTCTAGCAGGGGATACATGCTCCTCATCATACAAGCCTTAAGACGTCATTAAGGGATGAGATTGGAGACCTGATTTTCATCATGATTTCAAGACATCCACCACTCTGGTCATCTGAAGAAGTGGGCTGTGCCCATGAAAGCCCATGATACCATCTACATGTTTTGTTAGCCTATAAAGTGCCAGGGCTGGCCTTACTATGAGGCGAACTGCAGCGGCCACCTCAGGTGCCAGACCTGGGGGAGGGAAGGGAGGCGCCACTAGGACCCAGAATGTAGAAAATTGTGCCTGCTGCTGGGGCATATGTATTCTCTCTGCTCTAGATGAACAGACATGGTGGAGTGCTGTGCTGGAGAAAGGAGGGCACAAGAGACATAACAGGCAGGCAGGAGAAAAGGTGAGAGGGAATAACAGAAAGCAGCAGGAGCTGCAGAGAGAGAGGAGGAGGAGGAGCCTCTCTAGCACTCCCAGGAGCCTGGACTGATTAACACCAGCTTCTCAGGGAGCTTCCTGAACCCACTTGAGGAGAACAGGCAGTCAACTCAAGTAGTAGGAGCCAGTTAGGCCCTTAAGATGTTGATATTTCCCCTCACTCAGGCCCTGCTACCAGCCTGCTTATTTATCCCCTTCAGCTGAGTGTTGAGAGCCACTATAGCTGGCACAGAACAGAAGTCATGAGTGAAAGCAGAAAACGCCCCTCTGGGGCAGCATTCAGAAAAAAGCAAGAAAGCAAAAAGAAGCTTTTCTATCTAAGCAGGAAGGAGCTCTCCTGAGATACATAAACACAAATGTTCATGATGAGCCTTCAGGCCCCAGTGAGGATGTGAGAGGTGAGGAGATGCCTGATCTTCTAGTTAGTCAGAGTACAGGTGACCTGGCAGCTACTGCGGCATCCATTTGAGATGAAGATACAGATGTCACCATGCACATTCCTGAAGAAAAGTGTAGGTCAGAGAAGAGTGTGGTGAAGGCGCAAGAAACAGCTGCTGCTGAGTTTAGTTCCTTAAATCTAGATGATCCAGGACTGTGGACCCACTTGAGCAGTAGTCTGAGGGACTTCCTTGTACTGCATGGGCCATGGCAAGTGAAAAACTTCATGTTCCCCAAAGACAATGAAAATAGAAGTTTCCATCCAACACATTACTGGCATGAAATCCCCAATAGTGACAAAGTGGAGAGGCCATGGCTTATGTACTCAAAAACCCAGAATGCTGCATACTGTTTTTGTTGGAAACTCTTCCAGTCTAATGTTCCAGCCACATTGGGTTCTACAGGAACAAATGACTGGAAAAATATGGCTAGAAATCTGGCATGCCATGAGAAGGCAGCAAATCACCAGAGAGCATTCCATAAGTGGAAAGAGCTTGAGATGAGACTAAGGTTACAGGCCACTATAGATGATCAGTATCAAGAGAAGATTGCATCAAAGTTTCTTTACTGGCAAAATGTTCTGAAAAGGCCCATTGCCATTGTGAGAATGCTTGCAACCCAAAACCTAGCACTGGTGGCACTTCAGATTAGCTGTATGTGCCAAACAATGGAAACTTCCTTAAAACTGTGGAGCTGATGGCTAAGTCTGATGTTGCTATCAGGAGCATCCAAGAAGAGTCACCACCCAAGAAACATACATACGCCACTACCTTGGAAAAACAATTCAAAATGAGATCACACAGTTACTGGCAACAAAAGTCAAACAAAAGATTGTGGCAGATCTGAAGTCAGCAAGATATTACTCTGTTATTCTGGACTGCACACCTGACATCAACCATACAGAACAAGTGACTTTAATGGTGTGTTTAGTAACAGAACCTAGTGAAAATGTCCCTGTAATGGTGACGGTCAGAGAGCATTTTCTAGAATTTATTGACATTGATGATACTACACGAGTTGGTATGACAAATGTGCTTCTTAAAAAGCTGGAAGATATGGGAATTCTAATAGCTGACATGAGAGGTCAAGACTACGATAATGGTACCAACATGAGAGGAAAGAACAGAGGAGTGCAGACACGAATCCAAGAGTTAAACACTCAAGCTTTTTTTTTAATCCCATGCAGTTCTCATTCATTGAATTTGGTGGTCAGTGATGCAGCATCAACTTCTAGTGAGGCTGCTGAATGTTTTAATGTAATTTTTCTCTGCATCAATGGCAAATTTTGAAGCAACATCTGGGAACTTCCTCAGACACTGAAAGCCACACGATGGGAAAGTCAAGTGGTGGCGATAAAGCCTATCAAACACCAAAGATGACACATGATGCCATAGTTGCCATTATGGAGGGTAATGCTATGACAGGAACTGTTTGTGGGAGAACAGTGGCAGAGGGAAATGGAATAATCAGAAACATACGTAACTTCACATTTCTGTATGGCTTAGTGTTGTGGCATGACATACTGTTTGAAATAAATGTTGTAAGCAAAAGACTCCAAGGTGTTGACCTTGATATATCTGGAGCAATGGATCAACTGGACAAAGCAAGTTATACCCACAGTCTTATCGGTCAGATGAGGGATTTCAAAAACATTCTGAAGAGTGCACAGAAGTTGGCAGAGGAACTTCACATTGAAGCTATTTTTCCACCCATTCAAGAGTCACCAAAGATGACATTTTGATTACGAGGCACGGGATAATCCCATAAGAGACCCCAAAACAACAATTCAAAGTTGAATTCTTTAACCAGGTGCTAGATTGTGCAAGTCAGTTGAAGAACGTTTCATGCAGCTCAAGGAACACAGCAGTATATTTGGGATGTTGTAGGATATTCCAAAACTCCTCACTATACCTGAAGACGACCTACACAAGCAATGCAGGGCACCAGAGACAGTGTTGACACATGATGACATGAGCGATATTGATGTGAATGATTTAGGTGATGAACTGAAAGCCCTTCCAAGGTACATTTCAGCAGACTCCAAAGGCTGTTCTGGAATATATGTGCACAAATAAGATGACCACCCTCTTCCCAAATGTTTTTGTTGCTCTGTGCATACTTCTAACACTTCCTGTAAGAGTTGCAAGTGGAGAACGCAGCTTCTCCAAGCTGAAGTTAATGAAAACACATCTACGCTAGCTGAAGTTAATATGAAATATGATTTCCAAACTAAGTGTATTTTTTTGCTAACCAACACGATAAACTAAACATTTATAGATGCAGTTACATTCAGATCCTCCATTTTTACTTTTTATTATGTTAGAAAATAGTGAATGATGCATTTTTAAATCCATTAGATAATTTAAGAGATTTGTGTCAAGTGGTATTTAGATAGAAAGCGAAATTATATTACAAATGTACAAAGCCAATATTTTAAGTTAGTTTTGTATTCATTCAAAAACTTAAATATTCTGCATACAGAGGGAAAATCAAAACGTATTTTTGATTTAAAACTAATGTATTATAACCAAAGACAGTATTCATTGTCATTAGTATATGATGGATTGTTTCTGCTCACCATGACCCAAACTGTCCCAAGTATTTAGAGACCAAAGCAGCGCAGATGGGTGCTTACTGGAATTTTCAAGAATGTGTAGGTCAGTTAGTTGCCTAGCTCCCAATGATGTCAACTCTCATTCAAGGGCTACCAAATGGGGGAGCTGTGAGCAGTTGCCCAGCAGCCAGAGCCCCAGGCCCTTTTAATCATTGCTGGCACCAGTAGCTAGCTGCGGAAGGTGTGACTCGGAGGGCTGGCTGCCTCCACCCCCTTCCAAGGAGTCCAGAGCCAAGCCCCTCCCCTACTCCCCACATACACCAAATTGCCCAGGACCTAGTGAAGTCTGTAGCCAGCCCTGCTCATTCACCTCCTAAAATCTGCTCCCATGTTCAAGTTTCTAGCATTGGAAGGTCCCCTTTTCTCCCCTTGGTTTATGCTCACAGATCGTATGAGGAAAACAGGATTTCCTGCTTTTTTT